CCCTTGGAGAAAACCTGTATGTGTACATTAAAATCTCATTATAGCGAAGAAGTGAGATCGTTTTTACGTCACAGTTCAAGGCTTTTGAGGGTTTTTAATTTTCGACTATTGAGTTAAACATTTCGTTGTTGTTACAAAACCCTCAGCTGATTCACCTATCCTGCTTTTCCTTGATGGACCTAGGACCCACAAGAATAACATTGACGTTATCAACTTAGCTATGGAAAATTATGTTACGATCATATGTCTGCCTTCCCACTCTTCACATAAAATCCAACCCTTTGACAAAAACTTTATGGGTACATTAAAATCTCATTATAGCAAGGAAGTGAGATGGCTTTAACGGCACAGTTCAATGCCTTTGAGGATTTTTGATATGATGGAGCTATTTGGCAGAGCTCACCTTGAAGTACAACATGGGGACATTGCAGTTTATGGTTTCATAGCGACTGACATTCATCCTGTCAATGAAAATGTTTTTAACAGTGAGAATTTCATTACTTCAACACTTACAGTTCCAAGCCCTGAAACAAGACCTATTGAACCAACACCTGCCCTCATTTCAAGTCCATCAACCCTTTATGACTCACCTCAACCGTAATGTGATTGTTCCTGTCAAGCCAAAGTTGACCAATCTTATCTTTCCTATAGAGGTTCCATCTCCACCTCCAAAAAAAAAAAACAGAAATCAAGTAAAGGCAGGAAAACTGGTTCCTTCTCTATAATAACATGCTCTTTATATGAAAAAACAACTACAGACCGGATTGGAAAAAAACAGGCGAAGAAGGAATTTGAATTTTTGAAAACACAAAAGAGAAAAAGCTCTAAGACCCCCCGTTGAAAAATTGAAGTTCAACAACTCTTCTAAACCCAGGCCTAAGGCAATTAATCCAACTAGTGATGACTCCAGCAACGATGATTCTTTTCATTCTGATGTGTCAACTTTAATGGACTACATGACACCAGGAAAAGCACCGGACAACAAAGACAATGAGTGAGTCTTCTGTGATGAAAGATTCTCCGATGATTCCAAAGCAGGGTTTAATCTGCTGTGGGCTCATCTTGACTGTACAGGAACAAAAAAAACAAAAAAGGCAGATTCCGTGTGCAATTTCTGTCTATTTCCATGAAGTACCTAGACTCATTATATTGAAGTTTTTGTTTTAAAAACTAGAAAAATAGGTTTTCTGTACTTGATTGGCTTTTTCATTATTTAACCTCGTATTTCATATTACCCTCCGTTTGTTATATTTCGATTATTTTTATTTTTAATTAACAATAAAATCTTTGAAAGGTGTTAAAGTTGGCTGTAGTTGATCATAGTATGTTTTTCATAAATTAATCACTCCTAAAAATATAACCCTTTCAAATCACCATAGTATGTATTCATACTGATTTTGGGAGTTTTACTAAGGAACAGTAAATGGTATTCCATAATACAATACTCTTCTCTATAAGTTCCATTCGTCTTATAGACTAGAAGAAAAAATTCGTCTGAAACATTTACCTACTTTCAAATATAAACATTGAGTTTCACGAAAATCGCTTTTTGTTATTCTGTTTGGGCTCGATTTCTGAATTCCCTATACATTGGAAAGGGCATCATCATCATAACAGTTATTATCATTATATCGAAAATGAAAAAGTTTGCCAGCATGTTAGTTGTGTTGGTTTGAAACTTTTTCACATATTTCCAGAAAATTGTTTTATTTACTCACCGAAACTACTCCTTCATTTCTCTTTGTATAATTATTTAATGTCCTACGCTTGGCTTGTCATTACAGTGTTTTTAATTGATGAACACAGTACTTCGCCAAACCAATTAGTGTGGATAATGGGAAAAAATCATGAAATAAGCAAATTCTCTGATTATTATTTTTCCATAATTATGTTTTCGAGCAGTTCGTTAAATAAACCGATGATATTCTTGGATTCGTACTTATGTGTTGTCGTGGTAATTATCAAAAAATATATATTGCGAAGTTGAAAGAATGAGTTAGAAAGTCAAATGTTGTCCTAGCAGGGGACCTAGAAATGAACTTTGAAACGCCATCTGCTGCAGATACTCAAAAATTGTTACATCTGTTGAATACTTTTAAATTTCATGCTCTGTTATGTCATATAATATATCTGATCATGATGCGATCATTAGTTATTTAAATTTGAGTACGGATGAAGACGATGAAATTTGAATTTGGGAAATTAATTGTAGGTATAGTCGAACAAATTATCTCAATTTCTATCAAATGTGTGCCAATTTTCAATGAGAATATGTGTTCTTGTGTCAAAAACCATTTGAATACTTCAACAGTGAAATATGTGAGTTTTTTTTTAAAAAACCTTTCCAACACAAAAAATTAGAATAAAAAACAAATATAGAATAAATTACCGAATGCTAAACAAAAAGCAAAACAAAAGAATTATAATGGTGATTCGATAAATAATTATTTTTGTTCTGAAAATCTAACAAGAAAGATCAAAAATGCAGATGACCCTTCAATTTTTCTACAAGAAACTATTAACCACATATTTGGGTTATATGACACTAAAATAGCAAACTTACACAAACCATCATTAATTTTGAAAACAAATCAACTTTCGGAATGGATAAGCTGTCATTGCGAATCTTCGAGAACGTACCAACCATCGCCATAGAGGTACTGGTTCGTTTTCCTCACAGGTTATCTTTCGGTCCTTCCTAAAAAAATCGTGGGCATACCACTGCATAATGATAGGGATGACCCATCTAACCTGAGACTAATATCGTTAATTCCACCTCTAGCGAAAGTTATCAAGCAATTGGTTAAACAAGGCTGAATGCAAACTTAACCATTAGTTCTCCCACTGCCCACAATTCGGATTTCAAATAAGAAACAATTCGTAAAGACTGATTCCGCGTCAACACATCATATATATGAACAGAAATACCTCAAGGTTCCCTTTTGGGGCCCTTACTGTTCTTATTATATATTAATTAATTGGCCACACTCGGAATAGGTATCTGGTTCCTTCCCTCTTTTTGCCTACTACACCACATTGTTCTGGTATAGTAAAAACGAGAGAAACCCCATAAAAAGATGTGCAAAGTTATGGATAGAATAAAAAGATGGTTTGATTCAAATCTTTTGTCTTTCAATATGAAAAAGACAAACGATGCATTATTCCGGAATTGATGCTGGGAAACGGTGCAATAGAAAACGAAAGCAGTTACTACCCAAGTTTTCAGATATAAACGTATTCAGAGACCTCAAATTTGAAAAAGATAAATAATTTAAATAGAAAACTATCCTTGGGTTGTTATATCTTTTCGAATGATCTCAAACGAGTTAGGATACTCAGGATCTAAAAATATGTATTACTCCATGATTTTATTCGCACTTGAGATTGAGATATGGATTGGCATTTTGGGGATATACCACAAATAGCTCATTAATTCAGTATTTATATTGCAAAAACGATCTGTGAGATATCTATGCAAGGCAAAATGAAACTAACCTCGCAAACCACTTTTTATTAAAAATGAAATTTTGACTGTTTTTCTCCGAGTCTTCCTGCCTCACCTAAAAGAAAAAAAATGAATTTTTTATTCAACCACGTCTCTCCACAAGACAGGTTCATCAGTTAAAAATGGCTATCCCAACATCGAGTATCAGGAAGGACCCTTCAATATATAATGGAATAATTCAGGATTGTGATTGTTATGGAATATCAAGGATCTGAAGAAGGATTCATATTTCCTTCTCATATGGATGATACCTAATTGTATCTTGCTTCATGAGAAGACCCTCATGAGGATCTTGCAAGACCTGATGGTGTCTCAGAAAAATGTTGTTCATCTGTCAACCCCTCCGAATCCAAAGCATTATTTTTTGCAAGAAAAACTTTCAACTTCTTACCTCTCTCATATTCAGAAGGAATCGATCAATTTGCCAGGTTTCGAAATGAATTTAGGTTCACTTTTTTATGAATGTATCTCATATAGTCAAAAAAGCTTTCGCATATCTAAGTATATTCCAACAGATACCCAAAATTATTATCTGCGATTCACTAGTCTCATTCCAGTTGAAATATTGTGAAGTTTTTTTTGACCCCGCCTTGAAAAATATTCGATAGATATCGCATAAACAGACTTCACTTTACTCTTGCCCCGACTTATCTGAATAAGTTATATTACTGGAGGGGACTGGTTGAACAAACGGCGTATTTCACATCTTTGCGTGTTCTTTCCAAACATTCTCCCCCCAATGAAACCTTATTGTCTCTGCAAAAATTCAAAATTGTAAATATTCAGGTTCGACAGAAGTTTTCTGGCTTTACGGATATGTTTGTATTAATATATAAGATAACCACTCCATAGACAATCTACTCTTTCCTAACCTAATATCCTAACAGATATCCTAACAATCTCGTCAAACTTTCCACTTCGAATATCTTTCTGCAACTCAAACGCAAGTCACAGTTCTGCACATCTGTCACCTCTTTCATGCTCATTTGAAAATCTTATTCCTTACAGATTGCGCGTCTCCCTATTTTCTCTGCCCGCACAAACTCATTTAATCTTCCTTACTTTAGTGATGTGCTAAAGCACTTGCTTGAGGTAGTTTGCAAGTGTTACAATTTACAAAGTTTCGATTCTCAATGCGGCACCACCTGGCTAGTTTCCCCGGTAATTTCGGTTTGGGGGATATCCAAGTTAGTTCTATGTGATATCGTTAAGTCTGATTGGTGATTAAATGTTTAGGTGTAGCTAGTGTTGGATCGGTATCGAAGTCGCATTGAAAACGTTAGTTTAATGAATTGAAATGCTAGAACAATTTCCTGATATTACAGAAATTAGACCTAGCTGATAATTAGTATATCTTTCCCAGTCGCGACTGGTTTTAGGTCTAAAACCAATTTTGTTTCCTGATTTTCATTTTGAATGGTGTTGTTGTTCTGTTGGAAAGGGATGGAATTCAACACCGTTTATAGTTTATTTCCAACGATTTTTTTTGTTTCAGTGGGTAGAGGAGTCTTTCACCAATTTCCAGAAGGGTATCAACTGGAGGTCGTACGTAGTCTGTGATGTGGCCTACAATAACGTCAATAATTGGCTGTGGACACCTTTCATCGATAGGAATGTCTCCAATAGAATCTACATCGAAATAAAGTTCACCATAAGAGACTGCAGTCTTTTTCCAGGTGAGTGGTATTTTGAACCAATCTTCTGAGTCCAAGGGGGTCCTAAGGAACCTACGTTCATCTAGCTAGCGGTTCGCATATTTGTCATCGATTCTCTTTAGAACCAGTCTATCGTAATGAAAATGTACCTTATATTTCTGAAACGTAAAATCAGATGAAAACTCAAGACATAATTTATTAGAATGACTCACTAGATCACCTTATATGATGCATCTAGATTATGTTGATGGGGTACGTAACATCTAGACCGTATTTCACTTCGGAACTCGTGGATTCAAAAAAAGGTGCTTGCAACGAAATTACAACAGATCAAACGGCGTATCACAAGACCCCCCCTTTCTCCTTTGATAACACTCTCTCGGTGATGAGTGATGCAGCACTAATATATTTCTAGTCAAAAGGTATTAACAATGATGAGTTTTAGTTAAGTTTTCTCCGATTTTGATATCTCGTCCTGTTCAAAAGTTGAGGAGACTATTACGTCCGCACTGAGAAAGTATTCGAATATTCCAGAGTTTTGAATAGCTATATATATCGCCACATTGATGTATAGCACCAATCCAAAATATCCAGAGTAATTATTATTTGAAAATGGAATAAGATTATCCTTTTGATACTTACTGAATCCGAAATGATCTCAACACTATTGAAGCGATAAAAAAATCAGGTGTTACACTTGGAAATGCGAAAATAATATTTTTTTATTTACAGCAGTTGCCCCAACTATAAATAATCAATTAGAGCATGGTGAATCCTACAAAAATACTTCGTAGGCCATGTTGAAACTAATTGATATTATGCCACATCATCGTTATGAAGAACAAAATGACTATAGCTTGATGTGGAGCGATACCGAGAACTTATCATAATTAAATTCATTACCTTAATTTGAAAATTAAAAAAGAACCGATAAATAAAAATCGATCATCGATAGGAAATTACTCTCTCCTCAATTGTCTGAAAAATTGATGGATAATTAAATTAAGGCTTTGAACGCAGATTTATCGGCTGGCATAGATTGAATTCGGTATCGAGATCGATATTCTCTTATAATTGTACAATTAAGTAACTAATGGAACAGAAAAATATCCGAAAACTGCGAAACCATATATAAGTAGATTGCCCAAATTAAGGGCAATCTGTTCCGCCCATTGAACGCTCAAGGCCTCTAGGATCAATAGATACAAAACTGGAAATGTCCACTAAATGGCCCACATGCCTTAATTGTAACTAATCGAATGAAAAAGGGCTAAAACTCTCTTAATCTGATTTACCCACCGTGAGGAATGTCTTAAACCAAGATTTGTGTTGTTAATATTGAATGTGAGCATGAAACATCATCCGGTCTTGATTAAATATGTTCAGAAGCATGCAAAAAAAGTATTGTGAAATGATATAATTTGTACTGTTTCACTTTCAAAAGCAGTACAAATACTATAATATAAATTCAATGATGAATATTTAAACAATAATGTTTATTGAAACAATTTCACATTCTCAGAGAATGTTTAATTTTCACTTAAATTTTCGTATATGGGCTAGAAAAATTAGTTTATCTCTGATGTTGGTAAAGATATTGAATGGATTCAAAAAGCTTCATAGTGTGTCAATCTGTATCATATAGAATATTAGAAGGTCATAGGGTTTAACGTCTGTGAGTGTGGGCAATAATAACTCACCAGTTATGGAAAAAGTTCTTAACCTTGACAGAATTGATAATGGCGGCAATCATGAAACTGTGTACTTCAAACACCAGACCTGGAGCCTTTCTCAATGTTAATTTAGCCTCAACACAGTTGGATATCCTCAATCTAGCTACCAGTACAAAATGCTACCAATTTTAGATACAATGAACGATACCATATCGGAAAAATATATCTAATTGGTGATTAATAAATCTCCCTGAATAAACTGTGGAAATACGTGGCTTTATGATGTTTTTATACATCGTTTAGGCTTTACACACATACAAATTTTACTTCAGAATATATAGAAAAATGGAGAAGGAAAGTTTAATTGTATTCGATATGTACTATAACGATATAACAATAAATCTTTGATTAAACGTTTCGAGTCAACACGGCCAACATCAACTTTTTTTAAAATAAGGACCTGTCTCATTTATTACAAATCTTGATAAAGCGATACAATCACAATTCATTGGTATATCACACCGATATTTTTATAGAGTGACTTTTAAAACGAGTAGCATCATCAGTGGCAACAATCAAACAGAAAAACAATGTATTTTATAATGAATTTTTGGGGGGAAATAAAATCAATACAGAGTACATGACAAACTACATTGAATGCTCATATTGACGACACATCTGTGTTGAATGCACATATAAGATGAAAAAGACATAAATTTACACTTTATCTATTTTCTGTAATAAAAAAAAACATACATTCGTCATGGAATAATAATGCACACTCTTATAAATTAAGTGTTACTTAATTACCCATAGAAAAATGCACTGAAACATACTTTTATCTTCTGATTTGCAAAATATACAACCTTTATTCATAACTGAAAATTCTAATAGTATTTGATACTATCAATAATCATGACCCTGATAGTTTGAAAATTTTGACAAAGTTCATCCCAGTTATAGTAAAAAGGTATTTTCATACCGGAAATGATGAAAACATTTATAGGGAAATGAATATTTCAAAATAAATTTGGAAATATTAATCTCTCCCAACTACCTGTACAGCAGGGTCTGGTGGACGTCTGTCGGAAAACAACTACTTCTCCGGCTAATACCACGCTGGATTTAAATTATATCCGAATTATATCCGATTTGAATAATGTAAAAGTGTCATATTTGTTGACTCCTATTGAAGCAAATTGATTCGCAATTATCATTCTGTTCAAAAATATTTCGATACTTATTAAATAATAAACAACACAATTATTGCTTGATCATATTTTTTTTAATTAGTTTTTACTCACGTCATTATCAAACTAATTAATTTGTTGAATTTGTTACAATATCTATGGAAAAGTCTGTAAATGTTGTGAAATACAATTCAAATGATGTTTCCATTTCATATATATTAATACAATTTCTAGAATTGATAAATTAATAATTAATTACTGAATTGATAATATTATCCATTTGGGTCGTTTGAAAATCGATTCATTTTGATTAAGTAGAGGTTTTGTAAAGGTCAAGTTATAATTAAAACGTGAAGCATCTTATATGTGAACAGAAACCCACTTATCAGCGGGAGATTACGGAACTATCATTTTACATAAGAAATATATTTATGAAAAGATTTAATCATTGTTTATAATATTCGATCCTTCGAATTCAAATAATTCAATGAAAACTTTTTCAGGAAATGCGTTGTCTTGCAAAGAAACATTCAGCTTACTTTACTACGAATTCGATGCCGTAACAAGAGAACCGCCGCCATGGGATGCAGAGAGATACAAGTTGATAAGTAAGTATATTCTTTCCCATAAGTTTGAATGAGCATATTATTATAAAAACGTTCTAATAAACAGTAAAAATTAGGTATCATGATTAGGTAGTCATAGTAACATATAAATTAGGAATTAGAATATAATAACAAAATAATACAATAAGTTATACTAGGAATCAATTCAATGGCACTCATTGTGAGATGATGGTCCATCCAGATGTATATAAAACCTGTAACCCAGCAACAAGATTTATTTTACACTTATGATGCTAACTTAGTTAGAGAAATACTCGTCGAGAAAAAATACTTTTGTTCTGATGCGAAAAAAGTGTTTTCACTAGATTAATTTTACGTATTCTAAAAACACTTTATTGTGTGATTTTCACTAGATAGATATCCATGAAAATTTCCGCCAGCAAGGGACTCAAAGGGTTTCCCATTATTAGTCCTTCATTGCATGAATAGAATTTTCCGTCATCATATAGATTAATTTTTCGTTTAGGTTCCAATTATATTTATCTATGAAGAACATGTACATGTGGGTGCAAAACAAGCAATTCAAAAACAAACTTAGTTCTTATGATGCTAACTTAGTTAGAGAAATGCTTATCGAGAAAAAATACTTTTGTTCTGATGCGAAAAAAGTGTTTTCAATAGATTAATTTTACGTCTAGGTTCCAATTATATTTATCTATGAAGAACATGTACATGTGGTTGCAAAACAAACAATTCAAAAACAAACTAAAATAAATAATGACTGAAGTTTCACATTGTATGCCGTTGTTTCAAAAGTGCAGCCAATACAGTTTTGTTTGTATTGAGCTACGATCTAAACAAATGAGTAAGTGAAATTTTCATAAGGCATTGTTCAAACCAAATATATCCCTTTTTGAATATATCTGTTCAAGAAGGAAAATAATTCATTTGGAATTCATTTGGAATCAGTAAATCTCCATTACATTACCTACTTCAAATAAGCCATCAAGAATAAAAGCAATCTTCGACGAAGTATGCGTAATGAAAATAATAACTGATATTAATTCCTTCGGCAAGACCATAAGAGATCAGTGTAAAATGTTAATACGTACCTCGTATTAACATTTTACACTGATGTCAAAACAAACAAGCAAGCATTAGAACCATTTGATATTGTTAGTCATATGTTTTAATGAGTCGGGACCGAAAAAATTGTTCATAAGTCACGTGTGGGCCATAAAATATCAATAAATCTATCGGAGGTCCGAGTAAATGGCATAGAAACATCAATTCGGAAGCAGGGTCGTGAAAATGTATCGTATATTCCGGTTTTATTATTCCGACGCACACGTTTGTCTGTTTGTTATCTCAGCAGTAACATTAACAGTACCTGAACAATAAAGTAATTTTACTATTCAATGCGAAAGAACATGACAAGTACATAATAACGACTTCTGATATGTATTTTCTGGGGAAACATCCAGTTTTTGTGTACATCAACAACAGAGACGGAGGTGAAATGTTTGAAAGGAAATAGTAGCAATATTTGTCATATTTGTATGACACTTGGCCATTTAATTGGCGCTCCGGGGCGACTTCATTGAGAGAAAGAGAACTCAAAATGTGACTCTCAATTCAAAATAATAGAAAGTATAAAACAACTGAATTATTTATTTTCGCTACCTAATACCTTCATAACTTAAACACAAAATTGTTCATTGATTTTCAGCACATGGATTTTCCACGAGTTGTTTATATCTAATGAAACGTTTTGAATACAGATTGGCATTAACTGGTCAATAATTGACACTCCATTCATCCAAATCACTCAGATAACTACAAAACTGCATAACTAAGAAGAGAGTGATAAAATATTAACTGATAGTTTGAAATTATGATCTGTCAGAATTGGAATTTTTTATACATTGGTATGCCCTCCCAATTCAATTCTGAAATGTAAAATTTGGCAGGAAAAATTTTATGTTGTAAGAAGAATCAAAAACAATTTTCTGTAACTATCCACGTCTGAATCCTTGCCTTCAAAATATTGATTGGCTTGATTCAGATTTCTACATTTTGATTTCTAATTCAAACAGATTAATTGTGAATATTTGAAATGTCATAGGAAAGATCAAATAAAATAATATCTACCTACTGCTTAGTAACTTTCGTTTCTGTTTCTTTCAATTCTAAACGAGAATTATAAATTGGTGTCAGATGCGATCATTTTGCTGGCTATCATAAAACTGATCTTTCTCTTAGAATCTAACAATGTTTTAAATATTTTTGACGAAAACATGTATTGGTTAGATCCAAATGTTAACGGTTCTTGATGAATAGTTTAATTGAACTGAATAATTAACAATATTTCACAGCATCAAAACAATTCCGAATGCTTGATATATTGAGCAATATTAATCATTTATTCATTACATTCATCACGAAATGCATTAAACACAAATTGACAATGGTAGAAGTTAAACAATCCGCAACAAAATTATCCAAAGTGCTCTTTTATTAAACCAATCATTGCTGTCCATTTTGATATACGGCAATATTACAAGCACTATTATCGGTCTGTGTTTAATTTAGTTGTCATTACTATTTATTCCTTTCCAAGAGTGACACAGTCACATAATGTTTGCATTTCGAACGGTAATTGCTTTGCAGTTTTTTTCAACATCTGAATTGCCCTGGAATTAATCAATCATTTTTCCAACGCGGTTGATACGCATTTTTCAGTGAGTTGTTACGTTCATTTATTATGATTTATTTCATTTGTTTCATGGCTGACTTTTCTGTATAAGCAGGTTATTAGCAATTTTTGAAATGTTTTAACACCTGCTTGTCCGATATGCATGACACCGGTATGTTGAAAATGTAGCGAGGCAGAACTAGGTAGTAAAGGTATGATCGACATACCTTGGATTTTCATTGTCTTGATTCAAAAATGTATCAGGGTGTTACGTTATGGTCTCGTGAGTGATTTTAATATAAATCAAAATGAAGAAAATTTATGAACAATTGAAAAATCGCAGGCATGTGTTTCTAGCACATTTGCCTCATCAGCCAAAACCAAATTGTTAATAGAAAAATATGGGAAATTTCAAACTTCTCCCAAGCACAAAAAACATGTTTTCCCTTGTGAAACTTATTATTCAAATCCTCAAAACCCCAATATTATGGGATGATACACATAAATAATGATGTTTTATCTCACACAGAAACTAAACCCTTTTCTTTTTTAAATTAAAGGTTTTACTAACTTACTTCATTTGAAACGGATAATTCAACACTAGTTTTTTAAATATTATACTTTTCCTTTAATACAGCCTTACAACTTTTTTAGGAATCCTTTATCAAAATATAGACTAGTGATTAGTTGACAGAAAAGTATTGACTTCACATTCAAAAATATTTGCAGTTTTTTTGTTCAATGCTAATGTTAGTTGTAAGGCTACTTGGAAATTTGCTAATGGAAGTAGTTAGTAAAAATTCGAAAGAGACAACAAGTGCAGAAGGTCCCGGAATCTTTGCTGCGTTTATTTAAGGTTTTTACGGGATCACCGAGAAATCAGTTCTATTCCAGACATAAGAGCGATAACAAACAAGAAAAAGTGAAATAATTGCAATAATTCAGTGACGTGTTATTCAATTATAAGTCCTATTTGCCAAAAATTATCATTTGGCCTTCTACTTCTCCATCATTATCAAAAAAGTGGGAAACTCTCTGATTAAGGAAAAAATCCATAAATAAAAACTCTCGACAAATGTAAATAGATCATGCACAAAAGTCCTAGACCTATGAGCATGTAAATTTGTTGATAATTAATGTTCTCTTGCAATTTAGCAATATTTTGGAAAATGTACAGGGTACAGTTTACTCGGCTTAGATAACTTTATCAACTGGCTTTGTTTCTCACTTAATGGCCAAAGAGTTAACGAGAAGACACGTGTCAGATTCAGTCATTCCCTTTTACGTCAGAATTGAAAGAACAAATCGATCTCTCGCTTCTTTCAGAGATGATTTTTATCGAATCACCTGAAGCTCTCATGGCAATCATTTCGAATACACTTAACGGCATTTTCAACTTCGAGCCTCTATTCCAACTCTCAAATGTTAAATCTAAATACCGCTCAGATCTACGGGAATCTATTTAATAAACATAGTTGATGATGTTAAAAGCATTTCGCGGTCGAGTAACGTTAAGTAATCACTCGACCGAAAATCGATTGTTTAATCTAATTCTACTCGTCCAAATACACTAATAAACAAGTTCCAGTGGGTCGTATAAATAAATGATAAATCATCATTACACTTCAAGTTCAATGGTCAGTCGGATCTTTAATATTTATTATATTTACTAGTTGGCCCCTTGCCATGCACTTGAAAGACTTGAAATTGCTATTCGTTACGGACCATTCACGGCGGAAGAAAATATTTATGGCATGTAACAAGTGTTACCAACAATTTTAAAGACATTTGCCAAAAAGAAAGCTTATGTGTATACCTATATTTCATATTTCTTAGATACATAAGTATTTTTCTCTTTCATATTTAGGGGCCGCAATAAATAAAAAATGTTTGTTTTTGCTTTCAGGAACATTTTCGTTCAGCTATATACCTACAGACATATAAAATGAATTAATTTTCATTAGATATACTTTATTGGAGAAGTAAATATAAGAACACATACAAATGTGTCAGTGAGAACACACTCCATTTACCCGTCTTCCCCTTCTAATTAACTTTAAAGCCGTTTCAGATATTTTGCCGAAATAAGAGGACTGTTAAAAAAACATTGAAATTCAATATCATTTTATATCAATTTTATGTTATGAGTCTTTTTTGTATATCTTATTGAAGCTGAAAATTTCAAAAACGGTAAAAATCCGACTTGATTAGGTATGACTTTATGATGCACCTTATTTTATCAGGTATAAACGCATAATAAAGCCATAAATAACAATTGTTATTTATAATGTTTCAACAATCAATAACAATTGATTACTGAAACTTGCGTCAAGAAGGGAGTTGATGTTCTGGTGTTTGGGAATAGAGTTTGTTTTGCATTTATTCCATGGAAAACCCAACTCTGATGAGAGTTGTGATATTAGAGTAATGAAAACTGTCATTATACTTGTTATTCCATAGATGGTTCGGGAAGTTACTTATCATAGCCTACGTAGGACAGGACACAAGCTCCTTGAGGCTGAACGTTCCAGAGTAGCTAGCTCGCTGTCCCGACTTCTCTCCTCTTGGTATTTTTTAATAAAAAACAGTTCAGTACTCTTTGAAAACACTTAACTTTTGTGTAAGAATAACTCCTCAAACTCTCTAAAATTTGAGATAAACGTTTTGTAGAATTGAATGATTGCTTTAAAATTTGTTACATAAAATTGGTGTAGTTATTCGAGGGAGAAAGAGAAATAGCTTGTGTTTCTGCTTTTATATTCGTGGCATTCTGTTGAATATCTAGGTGGGCTAGGTAAGTTGAACAAACTGTAATAATAAAGAGAAATGGTGGTAAAAATTTAAAATAACTCGATAGTATTCACAATCGTCTTTGCTCTCACCTTTCCCCTTTTCCATTTTCGTTTTCTGTGCACCGTAGCCCGTTTCCCACTTGATTAGAGGTTTCCTGCTTATGTTGCGAATCTCTTCTCTTCGGTTAAGTATTAATGGTTTTAACAAGCACACAGAGGCATCTGATTCAGCACTGATGACAGCATTGCCGAAAAATTCAATAAGTGAAATAGCTGTGAAGTGATATTGAAGGTTAATTACTTTTAAGTTGTATTTTCCAGTTTATTAATAAAGGTCTGAACTTTCCTTTGAACTGTTAGAAACAGAAAAGTTAATTCTAAATATTGACAATATTTTTTGTTATTATTGAACATAATAAGACGTCATATTAGAAGATTGAATGTTCAATTTTGTTCCAGGTCGGATAGCAGCAGGGGAGGGAAGATTCAATTCTAATAGCGAGGTGAACATCAACACTGAAGTCAAAAGTATACCTGTTAACAAGAAAGGGGTCTATTTCGCATTCAGAGACCAAGGAGCCTGTATATCCTTATTAGCTATAAAAGTAAGTAAATATTCAATTGGTTGTCAAAATAAATGACTAGTATATTATCAGGTTAAGATTGTAGCTTCAGATGATAACTAACTAATGTAAATTGATAAATCCCTTTCATTTCGCAGATTTACTATATAGTTTGTCCAGAAGTCACAGTAAACTTTGCCAAGTTCCCCTCCACTCCGACAGGCAAGGAAATCACCATTATTGAGCAGGCAAATGGGTCTTGCGTAAGCAACGCTGAAGTTGTTGGAGGAATACCATCTTATTTGTGCAAAGGTGATGGAAAGTGGTCACTACCCAGTGGTGGTTGCAAATGCAAGGCTGGTTTTCAACCCGATATGGAGAAACAAACATGCAATGGTTAGTAAAGTAAAATAAAATTGTTTGGATATTTTGAACTTACTTCAAATCAGAAGCATTATACATTGCTTTCTCCCTGAACAGTGACTTGATAAATTACTTTTTCCAGTGTGTCAACAAGAAACTTATAAGGCTGAAACCGGAGATGGTCCATGTCTTCCTTGTCCAGATTTCTCTCAAGGTCCTGATTACGGATTGAAGGAATGTCAGTGTATATCAGGATACTTTCGGGCTGTAACTGATCCTAAAAATATGTCATGCACTCGTAAGTAAATATTTCATATGGATATCATCATATTGTATGGGGTATAGTAGGAAACTATTAGTCACCTAAAAGTAATACTTTGAGCTGATGATAGGAAGATCTGATACCATTTTACCTTTTTACTTGTTATTTATTCTCCTAGATGTTCTGTTTTTTGCCAAATTATGTCGCGATGACTGAGTGAATTTTATATAAAAGATATTTCATCGATACCTGTATTTTTCAGAACCTCCCTCGGCACCTCAGAATTTGACTGTGAGTTTCGTGGACCAATCAACTGTTATTTTAAGTTGGCTTCCACCAGAAAAATTGGGTGGAAGAACTGATACAGCCTATAAAATTAAATGTGATGCATGCAGCTTAGGTCTTGTGCAGTATAATCCAAATACGGTAAGATTTTCTTAACATTTTGTTTGTGAAAATGTCTCCATTCCTATTTATGATACGTTTTGAATGACACTGTTAATTTCAATTCATTATTTATATTTAAGGAAACTTTCAACGAAACCAGAATTACTATAAGCGGTTTGAATGCCGTAACGACCTACCGCTTTCAAATTTTTGCTGAAAATGGAGTATCACATCTAGCACTACGCGCCTCTTCTGAATACGCTGACATTGTTGTGACTACGGAGGCGTCAGTGGCCAGTAGTATCACCAACATCAGAGTAATGTCAGTTAAAAGCACTGATATCACTTTGATGTGGGACGCCCCATCTAACAATGATGGATCAGACATGGAAAACGATATGGTAGATGCTTACGAGGTAATATCCTAAAAAACATTCAGTATTTGGATAGATATAAAATATTTGGTTGCTTTTACTCAGGTGCGCTGGTTCCAAAGAAACGATATAGATTACAGCAATAATAGTTTGATTACTTCTGACTTGTCTGCTACAATTACGGGTCTTCAACAAAGGACTGAATATGGGTTGCAGGTTCGCGCCAAAACTCAAAGAGGATGGGGGGCTTACTCTCCGGTTATATTCAAAACCACCGGACAAGTTTTAAATACAGGTAAGGTTTCCAGAATTCCTCAAAACGATATAATAGAGGGTACTTCGGATTTTTACTGTTGAACTCGTATAGGACAGTTCCCATATAAAAAATTGAGTATTAACTTTTTAACATTTTTTTGGTATCTAATATTTCTGCTACAGTTTTTTTCACACAACTATTAATTCTCAAAACAATATGAATAAAGGTAGATTGAAATTTAGCATCTTCATTTTTATATTGGTTAAATCAAAATTCTGAGGATAAAATCATTGGAACTTTCGATTTTTGTTTCCAAGTGAACAGCGTCAAGAAAGAAATCAATATAATAAAAGTATATAATATCGCTGTCTGTCTGTTTATTTGTTCGTCTAGACTTTTATATGCGCTAATCTCGAAAACAGCAAAACCAATTTGGGTGTGATTTTCACTGATGTGTTTTGGTAAGGTTCACTCAAAATTTAATGTTTGACACATTGGTTAATGGATAAAAAAGTTATGTCAATTCAAAAACTTACATCAAATATTTGTTGGAAAAAAATTCTAAAAAAATACTGTTCAGATAATTTTGCTAAACTATAATTATAGTTTCTAAAACGATTTTCTAATGAATCAAATACATGAGAACTTTCTACTATTGTTAAAAAATATAGAAAAGTCCATTCGATTGAAATCTACTGTTTTACAAAATAATTATATTTGGTTAATCATTTATGAAGAGTTCATTATCTTAAGAAGTTTATCATTAATTTTAGTTTTTGTAGGTCATATAAAACCAGAATAAATGTATTCACCTTTATTTATCAAAATATTCTTCTCATAAGGATATTATTGGAAGTTTTTAACTATACACATGCAGAATTGAATAAGTTAAGTCAAGTTAAGAATAATCATGATATAGGTTGGATTTTCAAGATGGAGTATTCTGTCAATTTCAACTTCCTCAATTCGAAAATTGTGAAATACTCTCCTTCTACACACATCTGACTCATCGGTTTGTTGTTCACAATAAATGATAACGACTGATAATTATTTTCACACAGACTAGCTATTAAGTCCAATGTTTGACGAAAGAAAGCATATAAAAGATTTGATGTCCAAATAAGTAATTTTTAGTATATTGGTTCTGAGGTTGTTCTACTAGGTACTAAAAAACTGGTTAAATCATTTATGTATCAGTTTAATCGAATTCAACAATAAAATCAGCAAGTTTGTTTGAAGGTGGTTGACAATGTTTCGTGGTGAATTTCATCAGTTCGGATGTTAATATTTTTAATTTTTTCAGCTTTTATTAATATTTCAATTTTTATTTGTTTGGTTGTTGTATGTTATTTCTTTGTAATTTCAAGTTTTTTGTTTAATAAAATTGTTATTTTCGGTTAATCTTTTTGATTTTCTTTCAGGGTTATCAAATCAATTTATATTATATTAGACAATGGAAGTCCGAACTGATGAAATAATAAAATCAACAAGTTCAAACTTGTTTATTTTAGCAGTAGGGTGCTCAAAATCAATATATTGGAATTGTAAATTATCGCTCTCTGTACTCTATACATGGAAAATATTGATGAAAAACTTTTATTGGAGATCTTTATTAAAGCAATAGGACCTGTTTCTCTGTGCGTTTGTGCGCTCTAGTTCAAAAAACTGCTCAACTAATTTGGGAGCGGTGGTGAGTTCGCCTGATTCATTTCAATTGATTCATAAATAATGAAGTTATCTCAATTGAAGAATCATGCCAAACATTTTTTGGAAAAAAAAACATTAAAAGTATTTTCTATGAATTTATCTTGAAACTGTGGTTAACTATATTCATAGTTTGTTACATTCTTTTGTAATAAATCAAAGATAGGCAGGTATCTAAGAATGTTTTGCTTTTAAAAAATATGGAAAAACCCCAAAAACTAAAGTCCAGGGGAATAAATTCCCAGTAGTAAATAAAAATCAATGAAAAATGCATATGTCAGTAAAAATATTCATGAACAATTGACATTTTCTTATTGTGCTTTGTTCATGCGTGTTGGGATATTTAATGACAATGAAATACCTATTGACTCACTGATTGATTGTGAGCTCATTTCAGCCTGAAATATAGTTATCAAATTCCAGTCAACATTTTTTTTTATTTTGAAGCTCTCAACGAAATGCTCTGAATTAAAAAATGAATGTCATCCAAGTTTTTGAAGGTTCAAGTGTTTGAATTCAAAAATTGTATTTTTCAATAACATTAAAGTTTTGGAAAAGATAATTATTATTTTTTTCATTTGCAGCTTATATTGGAGATGAAGAAGGCCTAAGACTCCAGTTAGTGGCTGGAGGCATTGTTGCTGTAGTTGTCATACTTGTTGCTGTTATAGTTTTAACTGTGGTTTTCCTTCGATCTAGATCCAACGATGAGTGCAACAAAAAACAACCAAGTGATTGTGACACTTTGGAATATAGGAATGGAGAAGGTATGTTGATATATTGATGTTCAATCATCCATTAGGGTACGTTAAATTCAATAAATACTCATGGAACTTGTGCATGATACAAAAAATTATAGTTGTGAATTACAATGATTAGTACCAGTGACGTCTAGTAAGAATATTAGCTTTTGCAAAATTAGACGGCACTACTAACCCCCATATATGTTCAATATTAACACCAAACTTGCACTTTCACGCCTTGCCTTACCCTAAAAGGATTGGTAGTCACATACAGTAAGTCTAGATTTAGTTCCAAAAATCATTTTCTTATAATGTTTTGCACCCATTCATTTTTTTATTAATTTGAAGTACTTTTCATTGCTCATTCTTATTTATGTGTACATTTTATTTTATAATTTTTTCAATGTTGCTTTGCTTCATTTGTGCATTTTTTGTTTTTAGTTCATCATAGCTTGGATAATCCTCCCATAGTTACCACCCATACAAATGGTAATGATTATTTTCAGTTTTTTCTCTTACTTCTTTTAGTTTTCAAAATATTTATTTTGATTTCTGTCTCGAACATCATTTGGAACTTTCAACTAAAAAAGAATGAATGTTTGGAATACTATTTTATCTGAATACATTGAGCAACAACTATAGTATTCTACAAAAATTAAATATTGTTTCTTTGCTCAAATATTTTTGAGTATGACATTAGTTTACATACTGAGTGTCTCAACTTGAAAATGATCATGAATATTTGTTATTAAAGTTTCCAAAAATAATTATCTTATTCAAATCAATATCTGAAAATTAAAAAAAGACTTGTGCTGATTCAAGTAGCCTTTAAATAACAACAGTGATTTTATGTATAAAATGGTTGGAGGGCAAAATAGATTTATTATTATTATTATGAGTTGTTTAACAGGAAGAAAAATTCAATTTTAAATTGAAGTCACCCTCATTTCCTTCTCAAAATGAATTGAAGTAAGGGGATTGTGGAAGCCATCCAAACACATTTTTTGTTTTGAGACAGAAGTAACTAATTCAAAAATAACAATATCTTCAATTGATTTCCTTTTCACTTGATATGAGTAAAACAAACAATATTACAGTGACAACGCCCCTTTTTACGGGTATAAGTGGTTCTTCAAGGACTTACATTGACCCTCACACTTATGAAGACCCCAATCAGGCAGTTAGAGAGTTTGCTAGAGAAATAGATGCTAGCTGTATTACAATTGAGGCCATAATAGGTGAGTTCAATTGATCTAATGGAAATTCTTTTTATAAGTAAGCATTTCGTTTTCAGGTGGTGGTGAATTTGGAGACGTTTGTCGAGGAAAACTGAAAATGAACGGTGTAGACATAGATGTGGCCATAAAAACTCTGAAAGCTGGTTCTTTGGACAAGTCCCGCAATGACTTTCTCACAGAAGCTTCCATAATGGGTCAGTTTGAACACCCTAATGTGATTTTTCTTCAAGGAGTTGTTACCAAATCAAATCCAGTTATGATAATCACAGAGTATATGGAAAATGGGTCACTTGATACTTTCCTTAGAGTGAGTAACAGTAATATTTCTGATAGTCATATTAACTTATTCATGCAAACTGTATTCTATAAACAGGGATATTATATCATCCCCTAACTGTAAATCCATTTAACTATGATATTGCTGTCATTTTTCAGAACAAACAAAAAACTAGTTACGACTTACCTCAATGCACCTTTTCGTTTTTTTAGCAATGTTATTATTATGAAATTATATTTTTGGGAAAGAAAGGTTTTCGCTTTGTACCATCTTTATACAAAAATGTAGCAATCCTTCAAATAAATAAAGAAAGCAATTAATTTTAAAATAAACTCTGAACAAAGATCTGTAGATCATGCAGAGAGTTTATTTTGAAATTAATTGCATTTTTCCTTTCTTTGGAAGATTCCCATGTATTTTGTATAAAGATGGAGGAGTAGAAAAGCAAAACCTTTCTTTCTCAATTATTTTATTATGATTTCTCAAAACAAGAACTGTAGTTACTCCTTATTTACAATTTTATTGCCAATGTTTCAGTTGCAATTGTCATGACGTACAATAAAATAATATCTCATTCAGTTTTACTTCCAAAATAAGGCCTTTGAAGATACTATCTACAAGTGGTGACCATTCACAAATAGAAACTAGTTAGTAACTTTGAAGTAGATTATGGTATGATCACAATTAAAACTCAACATCAAAATACTTTTCACGTTCCTTAACAATTACGTAAATCATGTGAGCAGGTATATCATATTGTGTTTATGATGAATCGGTATAAATAAGTATTTAGCATACTCAACTCCACCTTTCAAAATTAACTATTATTACTATGTAATTTTTTTTCAGGCAAATGATGGCAAATTTCAAGTTATTCAGTTAACGGGTATGTTGAGAGGTATTGCATCAGGTATGCAGTACTTGAGTGAAATGAATTATGTGCATCGAGACTTGGCAGCAAGAAATGTTTTGGTTAATTCTCAACTAGTCTGTAAGATAGCCGATTTTGGTCTTAGTCGAGAAATAGAAAGTGCAACAGAGGGTGCTTATACTACAAGGGTAAGAACAATGGTAAAAGTAATAAAGATTTGAAATTGAAAAATCATGAAAAGATACTGAAAAAATTATAATTTCAAAAGCATGAGGTACGAATGTTTATTTTTTAGGGAGGCAAAATTCCCGTTCGATGGACGGCACCAGAAGCTATTGCTTTCCGAAAATTCACATCTGCAAGTGACGTGTGGTCCATGGGTATAGTGTGTTGGGAGGTCATGTCCTACGGAGAACGTCCGTATTGGAATTGGTCCAATCAAGACGTTATCAAGAGCATTGAAAAGGGCTACAGGTAAGCAATTTTCACTTAGACCCAATTTTAATAATTGCTTGGAATTATTAACTATTTTAAATCCCTTCTGCAAATCGAATTTATTATTGTATAGTAGTTATTTTAAGGTTCATTTGCCACAATTTTATTCAACCAGTAGACAATTTTCTTATCTCAAAGTTTAATTCTTTTCAAATAATGTTCCAGGGCTTATTTCGTTTCATCTCGTATTTCAATTACTTATTCCACCTATTCCACCTAGTTTCATAGACTAGTTCATACAGATCCTTTGTTTGATGTTTTTTATATTATTAATGACATAATTTGGATTTTCTATAAATTGCCTACCTTTTATGATCCAGTGTCTCTCGTACAAGTGACATGACAAACTTTGTTATATTGGTTACTACTAAGGTCTTCATTATACAATCGTATTGAGCCAAGGTTTAGCCCTATAATTAATCTGATCCTATCCTTGTTGTGTTGACGCTGTTCTTCAGTTTTTTCTCAGTCCCTGTATAAAGGTTTTCTCAATTTTTTTAGGTATTCTTTCCATAATTCTTTATTTCTAATTGACACATTCAATGATCTCATCTAGTACCAATGATTTTGAATCCCTTAGAGCCCACGTTTGGAGTTTACGATTCATGTGTTGCCGTTTTTCGGGCTTGTCCTGTCCTGCAGTATCCTGTCCACCAGTTTATTCAGTGTATCACCATATTTCCAAACCAGTCTCGATATCACTCTTCATTTCATCAGTGCCCCTGGATATTTGTGTAATAATGTGGATCAGCTCATTTTGTTGGGGCCTCAAATTAATATTTCTGTACTTTGCATATATTTCTCTCTGGAAATATTGATTTTTGTTCATTTCAGTTGCATTATCATCCTCCCCTTTCATCATTCACTTCGCTGTACTGCAAAAAAATTCAAATATTTGATTTTTTATTTACTCTATTTTTGATAACATAATGTGCTTCTTCAGATTGCCTGCTCCAATGGATTGCCCAGAAGCGATATACCAACTGATGTTGGATTGTTGGCAGAAAGAGAGGACTCATAGGCCTACCTTCCAGTCTATTGTAAAAACTTTAGATAAATTAATTCGCGTCCCTGATACTTTGAGAAAAATTGCTCAGAATCGGTAAGTTTACATTATAAGTAGTCAGTCATAGTGTAATGATGAAAATAAAAAAGTGCTTACTATATACTCTTTACTTATATTTAGTAAGCGCATGTTAGATGATATCAAGTCTATGCTTTAGATGTTGCACTGTAAAAATTTTTCAAATCAAGCTGAATACTCAAATCATGATTTTTCTTTCTTTTTGCTTATGACTAGTTGATTATTCACACTATAATAAAAATTATTTTTATCGATGCTCATTAACTTTTTTGTTTTGCACATATTTTTTGATTTGGATAATAGCTTGTATGGCTTTGAGGTTTATAATATTCAAAGACAGATGTTTGCAGTGGATTGACGAAAACTTATGAGAAACAAGTGTTAAAATGGACAGATTATATTAAATATTATCCAAATCTTGAACTATATCCAAAACTATTTACTCCAATATTGACACTTAACACTCTTACATTCCTCATTCTTTTTTTCTCGCTCATTCTAGAAGTCACCTGCCATATAATCTTCCCTGGCCCACACAAAACTTACCCTCTCACATTACCACAGATATGCAATTGTCAGAACTGCCACGTCTTCACCACAATCCTTATTTTGGGTCACTACAGAGACGTTCCAATTACACTCCAAATATAGTTGAGGTGGAAACCCATCCTTATTATGGCTTACCGGATATAATACTCTTGCAAAACTATGGAGTTGTATCGGACGTGAATCCTGAACACGAAGTTAGAAGAAGGTTAGAGAGTGACTATCGAAACTCTTTATTAGAGCACGAGATGAAAAAGAGGTTTAACAGCTTATTGAATCTGAAAGACGACAAAATTTATAATGATGTTGGTGATCTTCATTCTCGAGAAATGAGCACAAATCAGTGGATGATAAACAATTTTGACAGTAGACCAAGAAACTCGTCCAACAGTTCGGTTCCACATTACTACCCTAATCTAGACAGCAGATTTATGGATGTCAAAAACGCACCAAAAGGAAGTTCAAATCAAAGTCAGGGAATGACAAATTTTTTCTTCGATGAAAGAGATGAGTACGATCAACAAACAGAAAATTTCTTTGGCAGAAAACCTGACTTTGAAGAGAGTAAAGATTTCAGCAAAAGGCCTGACCAGTTTTTTTCAAAAATGATGATTGGTGAAAATGAACCTTCTCTTCTGGAGTTGAGCGAACAATTCTCTGATAATTTTAAGGAAGATTCTAATATTCTCGACAGTTCTGATAATTTGTTCGACACTAATGTTGAGAGGGGGGACACGAAGAAAGTTGTAGAGGATAAAAATGCACAAACTGGGGAAGCTTGGGTCAATTTCATTAATGTGTAAATATGCTTTCTGTGGTTTTTATTTGCAAGGTATTATTTTGCTTTATACTTTTTGCATGTTGCACTAATATTACTTTTAAGCTTTTTTGATCTACTAATTAGTTATTTATCCCAGTTTGCCTAGAATGTATTCAGTGTAAAGAGGTCCTAACTTTCGATTTCTTTGAAGAAAATTGCTTCACTTGATAAAGGCTGGTTGACATCTTTCAGTGTAAAGAATTATGCTTGGTGTATTTGATTATCTCTGAGATGACTTCAAAAAAAGTAGAAACTTTACAAAGATGAAGTCAAAACTGATATAATTTTCAAAAAATCAATCAAAAATATGTTGTTATTAGTTTCGACAGGTGTAATATATAACAGAACTAATAATGAGTTCCTAATTATATGTGGTAGCTTAACAAATATGATTTAATTCACTAAAAGATGGATTTTTTCAGCTAACCTGCTTTGTTAAATGTACAAATGATTTTTTCTTTTGGTAAATGAAACATTTGACACTTTTAATAACTACCTGTATTGACTAGATCAACTGGTTTCAAGTAAGAGGGTTACCAGTTTTATTGTTTACATACAGTATAAAAGCTTGGTAATATGTGCTTCAATCACCTGCTAAGTTCAGAGATATTAAAAATTGTTTAATTGAATTCAATAGGTTTACCTTCATTTTACCAGTATATAATATAATGTTTGGTTAGATATCAAATAAACCTTACACTTGAGAACAAATTCTTACCCGTCCGGACTAAAGTGAATGAATGAGTGAATTTATTTGAACAGGAAGGAAATCCTAATATACAAACATTATATTAACATTACCTTAATGCATCGGTTTAATAATACATAAACAAGGACAACTTAAAACTAACTCTAAGTCAGACCTATATACTAACAAATATATATACATATATATCTAATCACTTCAATATGGTTGAATGTTATTCATTTTTATATAATAATTTAATCTTTCCTTAAACATATGTGAACTTTTGCTGCTTCTTATGTCTTGAGGTAATTTATTTAATTGATTTAAGCCTTTATAAAATATTGTTTTCATTGAACTTGTTAGATTGCATTTTGGCAAATGAAAATCATTGATTTGTCTTGTATTATAATTATGTGTGCTACTTCGAAATGTAATAAATTCAGTGAAATATGATGGTAGCATATTATTAACAGTTTTGAAAATAAATATCATTGCTGCTTTATACAACCTGTCTTCTACTGCTAACCACTGTATAGCATCCATCATCCGGTTGCATTTCAGAATCACTCTCATGCCTCGATTTTGTAGTGTACTGAAATAATCAAAATGTGGCTGTATAATCTTGTTATATATAGTGATTTTGGCAACAGTAGACAAGTGAGTGGAGATTCTTGTGAAAAAATAAAGTTTCTTTGCTATTTTTTTTTTATACATATGTGTGATGTGCATTTGAAGATAAGCCGTTATCCAATGTTAAACCCAGGTACTTGAACTCTGTTACAAGTTCAATTTTATTGTCGTTGATTTTCAATAGGCAGGAGTTTATATTGAGTTGTTTGTATTTGTATGGTGTGGTTAGAATCATGGCTTTGGTTTTGGATATATTTAATTTCAATTTATTGACGATCAAGTACTCAATAATTTTTTCTAAAGAAGAATTCATTTTAGTTACAGCTACATCTAGGCTTATATGAGATATAGACAGCAGCGTATCATCAGCAAATAAATTAATAAAATCACAGTTGTGACAGTTGTGAGGTACACCAAATTTTGTGTTGATAGGATTTGAATAAACATTATCCACTTTAGTGATTTGTTTTCGGTTATTTAGATAGTCTTTAAACCATTTCAGTACAGTTCCTTTTATTCCTATAGATTCCGTTTTTTTTACTAGTAAATCACGATCTATTGTTTCAAAAGCTCGTCTCAAGTCTAAGAAAACCGCAACAATATAGTATAGTCTCCGTTATCGATAGATTGCGTCCATTTACTTATAGATAGTTGCAAGGCCGATTCGCAAGAAAGATTTTTTCAAAAACCTGATTGATTGGACATTATAAGATTACTGTTTTCAACATAATTCAGAAGCTGATCATACACAGCCATTTCAAGTATTTTCTCAATACCCGGCAAGGTGTTTATTGGACGGAATTCGCTAGCTTTATTTGTGTTTTTAACTTTTGGTATTGGTGTAATCGTGCTAGTTTTTAATCTATCAGGAAATTGACCATACTGAAGTGAAATATTTATGAGGTGTAACAAAACATGACCTATCACCCCAAGAGTATTTTTTATAAACTTGATATCTATAATTTCAGCCCCAGATTTATTTTCCACTTTATTAACAATTAGAGTGAGATCTTTCAGTTCAAGTTGGGTAAAAAATTCGAAATTAGTCTCCACAACGATTTTACTTTGCCATTCTTCATGAGCGTTAATTGAATTAACAATATCTTCTAAACTCGATTCAAAATATTTATTAAAAGTTTCTGCTATTTCAGTCACGGCTTTCAGGACCTTTACTAGACCTTCCGTTTCGAATTCTATATTGTTTAAAACACTAGTATTTGTCTTTGTATCTACTAAAGATTTGATGGTTTTCCACATAACTTGCTGATTGTTTGCACTCAAATCAATTTTGTTGTAATAATATTCTTGTTTTTTTATTTTGAGTTAATTAACTACATTATTTCTTGGTCTTTTGTACACAACCCAACTATTTTCGCACCTGTTATATCTATAAGATTGATATGCTTCCTCTCTTTGTTTAGTTAGGTCTTTAAGATCACTATCGACCAAGGGAGACTATTTTGGTGAAAAGCATATGTTTTGACAAGAGCAATTTTGTTAACATTTTCTTCTGTTATACTAATGAAGTCATCATAAAATTTATCAATGTCTACACAATTAAGTAAATAATTATTTTCAATTAACTCGATACAGATTTTATTCATATTTTCTTGACCTAGATTACGGTAGCTTCTCAAGATTTTTGGCGAATTGAAATTAAAGCTTCAAAAAATTATGTATCGGATGTTGGGGTAATTGTAAATTTAGCTGAATACACACTCAAGTTATATATCCAAGATCTTTTGTCACCACCTCCCTATTATTATTAATATATGAATTATATAATGTTGTTTCTATGTGATGTTTAGAACTATTTCTCTGAAATCAATCTTAGTAATATTTCTCTTCAATTACAGATCAAATAATCCTTTATCAGCTGATGCTCCTGATCTCACTAACTTTTCTTGCGTCGAAGAGTGGCTGAACTCAATAAAAATGACCCGCTACTTGGAGAATTTCCACTCAGGGGGCGTAACTTCTATGGATGCTGTTGTGAATCTCACGGTGAAAGAATTGACGGAACTAGGCATTACTCTCGTGGGGCATCAAAAGAAGATAATGAACAGTGTCCAGAACATAAGGGCTCAAATTCGCGTGAATGGCTCTGAGGGATTTCTTGTGTGAGCACAGGAAGAGTTTTGTATAAAATGGGACTTTTTAGCAAATGAATTGTGTCAAAGTATAGTATAAGGGACACTTTTTTATGACAAGAACTCTAAAACAAGTTATAGAATGAAGTGAGTTATCTTAGTATATTTAAAATCGTGGCAGCTTGGCTTTATTTATTCTACTCGAAACAAATCAAAATATTAGTAATGTCTGCTGATGGACTTATGCGCGTTTTGCCTTTCTTATGTTACGAGATTTTCAATTGTGATTTTTTTTATATAAATGACCTTTGGTAAGTAAAGACCCAAGTAGCGCTGGTCAGGTCAGAAATTGTTATTATGTTGATCTGCCCTGTAAATAATTAGGTTTTATGTTTTACTAACTTTCTTCCTGTATATTTTTATGTTATAGTAATTATTATGGAAATTATTTATTTTTGCCATATTTATACTCACACACTTGAGTTAGAAATAATGATTTTTACTTGAGTGTGAATGTTTTTCGTTCTCTCTGAACAAATTGAAGGACAAAACACCAAAACCATTTGTTTGTAGCCAAGTATAATCAAAATAATGTTATTTTTTCACATATCAAGTTAACTATTACATAAATTTATTCCACTTAATTTGAAAATAAATTTGGGAAAGATGAAAAGTACAATGATTTGTGAAACTTTTGTTGATTAAAAATGAAATTTAGATAGAATCAGTGTTAAGATTTGTCCGTAGATTTAAATCTATATAAGACTGTTCGTCTAAATAATTCTAAATATACATTATCTAAAAAGATAGCAATAATTCAGTGTTTTTACATGCTATTTTCGTTTAATTGGAATGTTGAATTCGTTTCAAATTCAATACTAATACAATCATATTTGGTGTGATACTTCTTTGGTTTTGAAAAATTGTCAAAAATTTAGGTGATCTGGACATATATTCTCAAAAAAGGCGTCCGGTGTGTTTTTAATGTTCCACTGAACTAAAAATACAGGTGTACAATTGATATATATGAAACTGTAATTGTACTTACTTTTTATACTGCTCAAAACATAATATAATACATACGCCTAATTAATGTATTTACTTGAAAGATTCTTTTTATATATATTTATAGGTGAAAATAATTGACTGAAATATGTATCAGAGCATTTTGTGCATTTCATGAACATTCCAATAATTTGTATATTATCAGATAGTCATGTGTGTGGTATTTGAAAATGATTTGAAAACAATAGTTTATATCCATGAAAATAATTGAACAATTTTTCAATTTCTTTTTATTCTAGACATGTTTCGCTAACACCATAGCTTCATCGATAGCTACCGGTAGGTAATCACTAGCTTCATTGCTAGCTACTGATGAAGAAATGGTATTAGTGAAAAGCATCTAGAATAAAACAAAAATGTAATGAAAATCGTTCAATTATTTTCATTTGATAGTGTTATTGATTTTCATAAAGTAACGGACCAGTTCATTTATGATTTAATAATTTATAATTCTGAAACGGCAGTCAAATCACAGAGATTGTTTATCAGAATTCAGGAGCTACTGTGTTTACGATAATATATTGATAAATCACCATAAAAATCATATACAACGAAAAACAAAAATTTTATTCATAATGTTTTTTCTTTCAGTTCTCATAGGCAAGGAAAACCGTTTTGCTCAAAGTATGGGGAAAAAATGTATATCAAGAGAAAGTAGTATTTTTGTATTCTTGAAAGATTTTTCCCAAAAATTGCATTTGTAGTCATTCTCTTCAATTCCACAAATTGAAAGAACACAAGTATATGAAATGTTTACAAACCACAAAACTTATTCTTCATTGTATGAAGTATTTCTAATTTTGGTTATTTTCATTATTTTGGGATATTATTTGTCCATCCAAGGTTACTTTTGAAAAATTAGTTGTTCTTACAGTACCTACATTGTTCTCTCACTCATTTTCAGATCCCAACATTATTTTATTATTCTTGTGTTATGCATGTTTAGCTCTAAATGTGCCTATTTAAGGTGTCATTGTTAACAAAAAAAACAGAATATCATTTCCATGGGTTCCTCAAATCATTCTCAAGATATCTGATAATTATTGACAAAGCTATAAATATTAGAAAATTGTACAACTACAGTATAAAATATATGATTGAATTGACTGATACTTGAAAATCCATTATATTAAGTATTCAAGTAACAGTTTATTGTGAAATTTTTGCTGACTAGTTCACAAAAACGCAACATGTGTTTCACTATACAATAGAGCTTCTTCATGCATATTTAATAACAATATAAAGTTCGTTTATCAAAATGAGGAAATTTAATATATTTTGTTTTCTAAAAATTCATTATTGAATAATTTTTGCCAAACCAATCACTGATAATTTTGATATCTATTTCTAATTTCTGTTTCAAATTGTCCAAAGTTTCTGCAGTATCTTTATCCCTAGGGATAGGATACTTTATTACGGTTTCACGTGAAAACTACTCAACCGATTATCATGAAATTTTTTACACATGTTCTTGGAGGTATTAGAAGTAACAGAATACTTTTTATTAAAAAAATATTTTCAATAGTTGATAAAAAATATTGTAACTATTTCTGTGAAATGGTCTGTCACGAAACTCAATGTGACAAACCATATCCTACGCAGGCGAAGCCGCGAGTAATAACTAGTATTTAATTAACTGTATCATTAATAAAAGAATAAATTAACCTTTTAAACATACTTTTCAAGTATGTTCTCAATAATTCTTTGACAAAACCTTTTCACTTCAATTTTTCCAAAAGTAATGTATGATTAATGGGACCAAATGTTTCGGATAAATCTAGAAATAGAGACATTTGTCTCTATTTCTAGATACTATACTAGATAGATATTTTCTAGAACAGGGGTTTCAATACGTCTCTCAGAAGTTTTTAATGTTTCAAATTTCACATCATAATCCTGGTGATTTTCAGTTATTGAGAATCAATAATTTTACCTTCCATTTCATTTGTTTCTTCGGAGTTCATTGATTCATTCAAGTTTGTAGATATCACAGTAATAATCTATAAAGTAATTTGATATTTTTTTCATTTGTTATTGGATTATCATTATCATTGCTACAGTTCTGTGAGATTCAATTTGAATTATACCTATTTAGTGTTTCTTATATTAAATAAACCTGAGTTTACCTATCAATATTGAAGTGTTCAACTAATTTCCAATTTCAACAACAAATTTATTAAATTCTATTTGTCTATCAACTAAATGTTAATGTTGACTTAATGACTGACCTTTGTTCAAATGTACCATATCATAATCATTAAATGCATGCCATTATGCTGAAAACACTATGAAAAAGCACTAAGTAGGTAGAAGGTAATTTGTGTTGAACATGCCTGAAGAAGCTATTGTATTGTGAAATATGTGTTGCAACATTGTTAACTCTTTAGTAAAATCTCACAATAAAACGTTAACATGCTTCACGAACTGAGTGAGTGAGTCAAACATTGGATTAATATAAGATGCATATACACTTTTATAATTCATATCTATAAAATGTCAGATACCCTCCATTCTGCTATGTTGTGAATTTTGCGTGATAAGTAATGTGAATTGTGATTAATTTCACAGAATAATAATTACCAAACTTTGATCTGTCCAAATTACAACAAATACAAAAATCTATTATCTAAGTATCAGTTGTGAAAATGATTTCAAACTTGAAATAGATCAGTTAATAACTGTAATGAATAGAAATTAATATTGGCCAAGAAAACCGTCCTCTGGCTACTTCTGAACAACTATATCTGGACTATAAGATTTTCTGAATCGATAGTGCATCTCTCAAACCATCAGTATATAGACATTTTTGATTAATGTATTATAATTTATAATACAATAATCGAAGATGGACGGAAGACCACGACATTATTTTTTCCTTCATTTTTAAACAAAAAGTTAATTAGTGCAGATATATGCAACATACACTGATTTCAATAGATAAATATTATATATAATAAGTTTTATGAATCAGCTGGACATGATATTCTGAGAAAAGTAATATTCAAAATGAATAATTTCTTTTTGAATGTTACATCATAACTTTTATAAAAATATGTTTCTGTTCTGCTCCAATTATGTCAATGTAAAATTGTAATATATTTGTAACATATTAAGATTATTCAATATAAAATATTAAATAGCTTCATTATGTGTATATTTTTTCAAACAAACTTCTTCACCCTTTCAGAAATTTCGTTTATGCCCAGTGTAAAAGTACCTATTCCTTGGCCGCCGAACCTATCAATGGGATTTTCATTTATGGAGAACAGTTAAATTGACGTTTACCATACTGCCACTACTTACACAAAAAAACATTAAATTGAGAATTCATTGTTTCCTTTGTTTCAAATTGTACTTATGTCCTAAATTTGTTTTGAAAATATTTCGAAAATCAATTTCATGTAGAACATGAAGACAGATCAATATATAAAATGTTTCATTAAAAAAAATCGCAGACCTCAACAAAAATGACAACTATCAAAGTAACATTTGGAGCACCCCTTATAGATTAAAATGTTCCTCAGATTATTATATGCTACTTTGTTCTCCAAGCCACCTCACCAAACAACTTTGATAAAGAAGTTCAACTGGTTTTTTCATTGAGAGCTGGTTTCACTTCTGAATTTTATTTAAAAAAAAATCAGTAATTTGGTAATGTCTCATTGTGGCTGAAAACAAATTCAGTGCTAAGTAGGAAAGTATGGAACCATTTTGTTGACAGAAACATAAAATGGTTATTCCATTTAAAATATTTATATTGTTTGCTCTCATGAAAAAAATACAATACCCTGCACATTTGAAAATAAACTAACCTGCATATCTGAAATGTAGTCTTTCTGGCTATATATGACTCGCATTTGAAACTTATTGTACACTATTGGAATACCCAATATATTAGTATACATAGCCTTCAACTGTTAACACTCAATTGTTGATATGCCATTTTGTGTCTGGGAAGCCAAAATGTTTTTTTTATAAACATACCTCAATGTACCTCCATTTTGTTTTCATAATATCAGTAGGTTCGTGGACATCTTTGTGCCATTTACCTAGGAAAAATTTTTCAAAACAAAATAACACCTTTTCTTCAGATTCTTTATTAAATTAAATATACGTCATTGGCCTTAGATATTTTATAATTACACAATTCAATATACTCTCACACACAACAAAAAATTGGTAACTTGATCATTGTATTCAACATGGGATAACAATATTTTCAATATAACATGGAAAAATTATGGTGGCTTAATACATTTTGATTGAAATAAAGATAATACAAATATATTTCAAAATACTAAATACTATGTGCAATTCAAAAGAATTCAGTTTCACAATATATTAATTTTGAGAATTTATAAATATAGCATTGGTAGAATTATTTGGGGAATAAAATTCTATAAAAAAAGAAACTAATTGACAGGAAAATGAAAAATTAAATTTTCAAATCATAAAGGAGCCTAATTATTGAAAAAAATAGGATCCCTAAAATTACACATTGCAATGTTGTAGTTCAGTTGCTTCTTATGGGAAATCAATAAAATTCAATAAGAACTCTATTGAAAGGTGTTGAAATTATCAATTACCACCACTTTTTCAGCGGTTGTAAATTTATGTCCTGCTAGTTTAATAAGAAAACAAGCCACCCTTTTCAGTTTATAGAAAAATAAAGTTTTTTGTACACTTCAAGTTCAAATATATTATAGAATAACTAATAACAATAAAAATATCTTCCATGATTTTTATAAAGGGGCAATCTTTCTTTCCAAAGTGTTTTGAATTAAAGAACACCACCAATCCCAAAACTAAAATATGTAATGATAGTAACGTTTGGACCTTTTGATGCATTGAAATCAGACATGTGTTAACAAAGTCCAAAAATGAATATCTACATTAATCTTTTTGATAAAATATTTTTAAATGGATCTTTACATGTGAAAAATATATCTAACCAATGAAATCATCTATATAGTATAATAATAGTATATGGGAAGTTCCTCCCAGATTATATTGCTCCTTAACAAAGATTATCTAACCAATATTAAAAATTCTAAATTGCATATTTTATGAATATCATTACACATTTTAGAATCATTAGCCACTATTCCATAAAAGTAATTTGTTAGAAAATCAACATTCATTATAATATAGGAGAAAGTAATCTAGATTTGAAATAGTTTTTATAATCTCGAATTCTGTAGGTGAATTTATTACTAAATATAGTTTCATTTCAGTCATTGGACCTCGTTACGATACTAAAAGAAGTTGCATTGTACCATATGTGACATCACATTTCTATCCACTCATTTTGAAATAATATAATGTAAAGTTTCCAAAACAGCTTAAAATTAATTTTCGAGTCATTCAGTAAATTTTCCCGAGGATATTGAAACTGTTTTGAAAAACTGAACCATACAATACTTTTGGTATTTCACCTCTTCATATAAGTGTTTGGATGAAACCTTTGGGTATGCAGGAAAAGGAAATAGTTACCATTGTGGTTTGTGTTCTAATAATAGTGATTAAGTTAAGACAAGGAGGGGGGCTAAAATACAAAAATCAAGTGTGCATTTTGTGGACATCCCAAATGAAAATGGCTGAAGGTAATTGCAATTCTAATTATCTGAATTTCTAATTGAAAATGAAAACTATATATTCAAAATAACACTAAATTTTACTGGTTTAAAATTCTTAAAACATAAATCCCAACCCTCAACCATCTAATCTACATAAAATAAAAATATTTGTTTGAGGCAAGATAGGAATAAAGTAAATGACGAGTAACTTTTTCAAAGCTTTCAACACTATTGACTTATCATAATTATAAACCATTCAAATTTCCTAAGCTTACTTTTCTTTGGTATGATCAGTCAATATGGATATTATGAAGATTAATTGATTTGTTTCAGTGGAGTTTATTCAAATTATGTATTTTTGTTTGCAATGGACAAATATTTTTGTTAACTGAATGTTCATTGACGATTGAAAATAACTGACTTATTAAATATAAACAATGTGAAAACATAAATTTTGAAAATGAATTCAAATATTGAATTGAATATGTCAGTTTTTAATCATTTCAATATGATTGAAGCCATTAATTTCCAGATAAAAAGATAATAGGTAAGATTGATTTCTATAATGATATCTCAGATCTAATAAAATAAGTATCACAGTAATGCTATTTGATACAACTATTTTAGAAAAAAATGAAGCCATGTTCATTTTAACCAATTTCATTACAGCCTCTTTGATTTCTCAACACGTTAGAATCATGATCATTTTTGTTTAAAAAAAAAACAAAGTTATTACGTATCAATTTATTCATATAAAATTGAAATGTTCATAATGAATTTTTCAATGGCCATTACTGAAGATTCCAGGCATTATGTGATTTGACAAAATGAAAAATGACAAATAATATATATAAAAATCACCAAATGCATATTTATAATAGTACAACAAATATTATTGCTAAAAAATGAACCTGATTCTAGGCCGAGATTTGATTCTCAATCTATATTTTTACTTTGTGTTTCATAAACTAACTTAACTAATCAGTACTTTCATCTTGAAACCGTTTGTATACCCGTTCTCTATGCTTGGAGTCGAATACAAGCACGAGAATGTCTTCCATACCTTTTATCCTATTTCTGAACCTAGCTCGGTCTCTGGCATATTCTTCCCAAGGCCCCTTTCTAGCTTTTTTATATGCAAACGACCACTGTATCATAGGATGGATTTGACAAAGTTCTTCTTTTGCTGCGAACCTCACCTAAAAGAATTTTTTAATGAATTACAACAATCAAGTCAAAGTCTCTTCTACAGTAATTGGCCTTGGTTTAAAGGTACACTTGTCTGACATTTCTCTTTCAATAGAGAACAGCCGCCTCGAAAGTTGTGACTGACCAAGTAGTAGTAACAATCTTCCCACTTCCTTGATAACTAGGAGGGTGGTGGAAAAGTGAGTTGATTGAAGTAGCATCTCCAAAATTTTCCAATTAGGGCATTATATTGTTTTTCATGGTTTTCCTGTAGCATCAGGAGTTGAAGTGTATTTCATATCCAGGATCTTCATTTCCTTAGTGTTCATCCCGTCAATGATTTTGTTCTGCTATTGCCCATTTCTCTGTTCAAATCTACATCATCGCTTGTATACAAACCAACACACAGGTTCATGTTTTTTTTTAAACGTAAAATATTTCATAGTTGCATGTGGTACATGAAGGATTTGACCAATACTTGATGAAAATCCATAACAAATTTAAGAATACTTTATCATGTATAGACGTTTTTGTGTTTAGTAAAAATCTCACAAAGAAGTGTTACTTAAATAAGTTGTACAGAATATTTGAGTCTCTCTTGTACTTAATCTAAGGCAAACTTTAGTGACTGGAAATTATCTTGTTTACAGAAGCCTGCCAACCCTGTGTGTAACATTCTTGATGGTGAATGACAAAAACCTCCCTTTATTTATTCTGTCATTGATAATTTTGTTATTGTCCAATACCCTTTAGTAAGTAACAATTCTACTGAAACACCATTTTCAATTCCACATCCTTTCATCAGGATTTTCCAGTTTGCAGACCCTTGTGGCTTTTTTGTAGGATCTTCATGTTTCAGTTTGTGATTGGATTGTTTTCTGGTAAAGACCCAATGGTAGCAGTACATGCTCATGGAAAGGATGAACATAAGATTATGTTTGAGAAATGGAGTTCCTGGATGTAAACTACACCCTTGGTGCTAAAGGAAAACCCTAGTAATCTATGCAATGCCCTGCTTTGACACTACTTCAAACAAGTCAGTCTCGCATACCATGTAGGTTCATCTGTAAACACACTGGATGAACTTTAAAGAATGTTGTCTTCAATTGAAAGCAAAATGTCACATGGCAGTATCTTTAGTGCATCACCAAATGTACTTAAAGAAACTTATAACTTCATTTCAAACTGACCTGAACGCTTCCTTTCATGGATCAATTATTGCAAGTCATGCCAACATTGTTATAAATCAAGTTAATGAACTTTCCTCAGTTTTCATTGGTGTTAGCTTCAAAAAGTTATCTGCCAAGGGCGAAAATTGAGACGAATATTAAAACATTACTAAAAGAAAACAATGAAGTTGTTTGTTGTCCCGGCCACAAATTTTTTGAGTTTCTGAATATAATAATAATAAACTTTTTTCACCACAACTGTTATAGGAATATGGGAAATAAATAATGGGATGGTTAAGCATCAGTCGATTTTGTTTTTCAACTCAACACTAAAATGGGTATTCAATTTGTATCACGAAAGTTAATGAAACAGGACAGAATACAATATTTCCTAAAATTCATGGTATCTAAACAAAAATAATAAAGTAAGTAAACAAGCTATTGCGACAGAGACAAACAGATAAGTATTGAGTTTCCCATTTTATTTATTCTATTATCACTATTCTATTATTCAAAAATAAAAAATGTTCAATTCTTTGCTTCATTATCATTCACTTCTCCAAAAATGAACTTTTACATTCAAATTGTAATATCATGATAAATTTAAGAACAGAGGCCCCGATAATAAATTAACATGTTTATCAGGTTCTCATTTAAAATCACTTACTGAACGTCCTTGAATTTCATTAATAACATATTGACATGTACTTCACTAAACCCCATGCACATTCTCTCACAGAAATATGATGTAAGAACATGTTTTCAAATAAGTTTTGAGTGAGGAAGAGATCAGATATAAGTATATGTTTTTTGAGAAAGAAAATATTGATTTTTCAACATAAAAATAATACTTAATCAATCAAGTCACAAATTAAGCGGATGTGAAAAAAAATCAGAGACTGATAATAAATTGAAAAAGGTTCTAATAGATAATGATGCTTGGAAATATCGAATTAAAGATAGGATTCATAGATTATTTTTATGTTGATAGCTTCAATCTATTTGAAAAAAAATGTCATTTCATAATCGTGCAATAGTAATAAATTGAGGAAAGAGATGAATGTTCTCAATCTTCTTTTCTAAAAGATTGAAACTGTCAAGATAAATTTACTATGATTGAAAATTCTCACTCTTTTGCATGGTATCACTGAAGATGATGAATCCAAATCTTCTTCAACAGAGTCGTTCCCATCTTCTGAGTCAGTCTCGTCCTCAGATTCTTCCTCTTCATCCAATTCATCATCACTCCCACGTTCAAATACTATGAAATCATCTTCTAGAAAAAATTGCTTGAGCATCTTCCTCATCAGATGCGTGTTCATTATCAGAAGGCTCGTCAGAAATAATTACAGATGCCTCTTCATCATCAGAAGGCTCGACAGGAATAGTTACAGATGCATGTTGATTATCAGAAAGCTCGCTAGGAATATTTACACATGCCGGTACATAATCAGAAGGCTCGCCAGTAACATTTACAGATGCCTCTTCATTACGAGAAGGCTCGCCAGCAATATTTGCAAATGCGTGTTCATTATCAGAAGGATCGCCAAGAATATTTGCAGATGACTGTACATTATCAGGAGAATCGCAAGTAACATTTACAGATGCCTGTTCATTATCAAACGGCTTGTCAGTAATAACTGCAGATGTGTGTTCATCATCAGAAGGCTCACCAAGAATATTTGCAGATGCGTGTTCATTATCAGAAGGCTCGCCAGGAATATTCACAGATGTCTGTTCATCATCAGAAAGCTCGCTAGGAATATTTACACCAAAGGCTGCAAATTCCAACAATGTTCGTTTGTTAGAGCACATTTGAGTACCTGATGAGGTCGCATTAACCACTGAATCCGTGTCAGTCTCCATCGGTGATTGGTGATCAACTTTATTGGGAAAACTAAGTGGGGCTTTTCTTCTGCGACTCCCTCGCGGTTGAGAGTTTACCACAATCTCCGTATGATGATTTTCCGAGGTATTCAGAAAACTGTGACTAGAATTTAATAGAGAATCATTTTTGGTAGATGACTGTTCACCTACTTTGTTTCTGATGTCACTGTGACAATTAGCCATGACTGGCTGTTGTTCAAGACGGGTGTTTTCAATATGCGGGTGATCATTAACAAAATTTGGATTCTGGAACAACCTTCTTGGGGCAACGGATACGTTGTTATTGAACAGAAAGCTGGAGCCCTCCTTCTGTGCCGTCGGAACTAGGCCTAGCCGACTCGGTTGAACAAAACTACACATTGTTGTCTCCATGTCTGATTCAAACAAAACAAGGCATTAATCTTCTCGTACCTTTAAAAACAGCAAACCTATTTGTAGATCGACCAAAGTTCATATACCAGGTTTCTTTTCCTTTACTATGTTTTTTAGCCTTACACCTGGATTTCAAGCACGAAATATGGTTTGAAGACAACTTGCTTTCGATGATTTTTTCTTTCTGATCACTTTTTACTGCAATTTCTCTATTAATAATAGCCATTTTAATCAGAATCACTAAGTCACGGTAAACACTTCGATTAGTCAGCCATTTTGATTAAAAATAAGTTAATGTGATAAGACTATTTCAGCATTTCCTTTTTTGTTCTTACTCAATATCATTGTTGCCAATATTCAGGTTTCTCAATTTCTCAAAAAAAAATCCCTAAAACTGCTCGACACGATCATTGGTGCCAGTATTACAATTAACCGTGTACGAATATCGATGCAGCTACGTCATTTTTCGTATCAGAGATTAAACATAGATAAAAAACTGTAATGACATGATCATATTGAATATATACGCAAAAAAATATCTGACCAGTGGGTATTCTTAGGAGTTTAACTTACACTGTTTCAAAATATCTAATGAGGTCAGTTTATTTCTCCTTACTTCACTTCCATTTGGAATTCCTAACAAACATCTGGATGTCAAGTTTTGAAAGTTATATAACACTACTGAAAACACTACAGAACAAAGCCTTAAAAAAACTGTATAAATTACCAATTATTTTCACAACACCAGACCTATTTAACAAATAAAATATCAGATACTTGGATAGCCACAGTATATTGTCAAATAGTCATGAAATATAACAAATTCATTCAAGCAAATACATGAATTGAAAGATGTTTCAATCTCAACTTCAATATTTCAAAACAAAAACACTCAGTATTAAGAATATCATCTTTTAATATTTCACATTCATAGATATCAAAATTGATACGACTACGGAATATAGAAATATCAAAAATCTCCAAATACGCCACCTTGCATGGATGTGTATTAGGCATTTTACCTTAGTATGGTGACCGAAGCAAAGTTGCAATCTCAGCATATGAATTCTTATAAATATTGAGGAAGGTCAAGATCATCAAAAGCAAGTATTGACAAATTCATTCAGTATTCATTTATCACTCCTCAGAAACGGTTCTGCATATTACATAATAATATAATATAAAAATACGAGTAAGGATAATTACAAATGTAGATAAGCAATTTAAAAAAAAATATCACAAAATAGTAACTAAGTAAGTGTTATTCAGTGCTTGAGAGTAATTTCTTGTTAACTATATCGTATAATATATATCATCCCGTATGTCGTAACCATTTCTTAATATGAGTTTTGAATGAATTTAATCAGTTTGGACTTCCATTGTCTGATATAATATAAATTTATTTGAAACTCCTGAAAGAATCTATAGAAAAATAATTGAGATTGATGTCTCGTTAGACCGTTTCGTATGGTTCCACACCGGATTGTAAATATCGTCCGGATCATAATCTTCGAATATGGATCAGTATACCTAATATTGGAATATGACATAAACACCAGGTTGACAATTATCAACCTCATTCAAATTTTAAGCACGGTTTTGTAATTTTTGTATTATTTTGGTTAATTGCAGATGTTGAAACATTCAAGTATTCATTCTCACTGCTTGCAGTGTGAAAAATTTTGGCGGGATGGATGAATTAACGTGTTTTCACGCGTGTCTTTGAAGACACGCCACGTTATGGATTCCATCACATATGAAAAAAAAATCTATTTTCCAATGTTTACGAGAGACGTAATTTTTCAGAGGTGATTGGATGTATTGGTTGAACACATATTGCAATTCATTCACCTCACCTACGGCACTACGGTGGATGATGCCGGAGGCAGTTTACGTTGATAGAAAAGGGAACCATTAGAGATAGACATGAATCTTTTTATCTTTTGGGCGAGTTTATGGACATACAAGCATGTTGGGGCAACTTGATCGTATAAAAATATATTGAATCAAATATTCAAGGTATTCCTTATTACTGCTAGATCGCTAATAGAAAGACGAAATTTTTATAGAAAATAAGATACATTCTTTATAGTACACCATATGCTAGACTATTAACTAGAAAATTGTGCAAAGATTATACAGTTTTGTACAATAATGTGTGTATAGAAAATTATATTCCTAGATTGAAGATGATAATGATGTAAACTTTTATTTTGGTATGTATAATATTGAAAGTCCACAAAATTAAGACAGAATAAACAGAAATAATTCTGACCTATCAGCAGGAAGACCTATTCAGCAATGAGTTGTGTGAATCAATTCCATTTGAAAAAAACGTGTATTGAAGGACAAATAAATAAACGAAAATGACTTGGAAATTATTTTAATTTTTCACCGTTATATAACAAAGATGAATCTTCAAAAAAGATTAAATAAAAACACTGAACTATTATATGTTTATGTTTGAGTCATTTTAACGAGTTCCCCTACAGTTCTACGGTAGATACAGAGTTCGTAATGTAAGAATCCTGAATCCTGCAGTAGCCAAACTTCTCATCCAACGCTGCCAAATCTTCTCATTCGATAAATTCTATGGTATATGGAGAGTGGTCATATGGTGTTCAAGTGTTCGAGAATAACGTTTTCAGACGTTTTACGGAAATATTATGATTTCCGCATGAGCTCAAGAATTGGGCCCCAGGTAGAACAAGTTATATGTTCAGGAGATTAACCCTGGACAAGATTATATTCACAGCCATTTTGTCTGAAATTCGCAAAATTCCTGCAAATGAAATGGCTGCAAAGGAGTTGGAATATTTCAACTTTATCGCTAATTGGATGAATGATGTAATCGCGAAATATAAAAACGTAATATATAATACATAAAGTTTTCTTTATTTACATCCGTTTCAATATGGATACCTCGAATGATTTATTTCAACTTTTTCTGATAATGTATCAAAATACTATCGGAGGCAGATGAGAGGTTTGAATTTGGATTTTTTGATCGGGTGATTGTTAAATGTTTTGTTTTGAGAAAACACACAACTAATGTTTGTAATTTAAAAGTGAAAAAAATTTTATATTTCACATACCTACCTAGATGAAGAGAATCATATGATTTTTATAGAATTTTTATAAATTATATTTTCTTAATAATTGAACATTTTAATGACTGGGACGGTACTTTTCAGCAATAAATAGTTTCTTATGATGCACTGTTTGGAACCTTAGGTGTAGTAATGAATATTAATGGAGTTTTTTCCCAACACCAAATCGTTATTTTTAACACCTCGACACGTGTTTCGATCACCAAGTGATCATCTTCAAAGAGGAAGATTAAAACTGGAAGATTAATCTTCCTCTTTGAAGATGATCACTTGGTAATCGAAACACTTGTCGAGGTGTTAAAAATAACGATTTGGTGTTGGGAAAATCCTCCAGTAATATTTAATAAATAGTTTCGTTTATCACAAATTCAAATTTAGGTGATGGAAATAATGAACTCCATTTGCAATAAAATTATATATCCGATAAGTTTCAAATAATTTGAATTTACCGCTAAAATGTCATTATAAACCTCTAATACAGAATATAGGTCACAGATCTTGACTCCGACACTGTGACTCCGATCACATAATTCCGTAACCTATACCCGGAAAACTGTGCCAGACATCAAAAACACAATGCCACCAGTTGACTGTCCTTTCTGTAAGGTATTTTGTGATTATAACAGTCGGAGGCTCGAATATCACTCAAACTATTTGATACTCTGGGCCAGATCTCTTCGATAACGACGATGGAGTAATGACATGTTTCGTGCTTCCTCTATACAAAATAGCAAAGGTCACCAAAATTGACTTCTTTAGATTGAAGTTGGCATCCCGGAGAGCCCCTTCTGATTTTTTTGTGACCAGATCACAGATTAATTTAATCTGTGACCAGATTAGTAACAGAGAACACCTATTTCACAGATTAAATATTTATTCTGTGCCTATTTATGCATGGTTTATTATGATTATGATTAGTAAGTGAGAAAAAATTATGTTGGAAACCTTGAGAGAAAAAAAAAGTGTAGAGTCATAGTAGATTGCTAAATACCTTACAAAAAAAAACAGAAGAGCCAGTTGATGTTTAATTGAAACCTTGGCTAAATTTTCCCGAAACCGTATACTTTATAAATGATCAAAAAGTATAAAAAAGCACACAGTGAACATAACTTTGTCAAATAATTCTGAAAAGAGTGGGGGGTGAATTTTATTGATTTTATTACCTGTTGACTTTCCTATCGCTAATGAGTTCCGAGTCTCTTATAGCAGAACATCGAGAACAATCTGTTGGACTTCTGAGGTAGTTGAATGTTCATTAAATAAAAAAAAGTACTAAATAATCTTTATCATAAAAGAGTCTCTAACGTAAGGTATTTATAATTTCAATTATATTTAAGATACATATTCATTTTTCTCCTTAAAATCGATGAAATATATGTATGTTATGTACAGATGTTTCCTAGATTTTTAAATTAGTACCGTCGGTAGATTACCTGAGAGACCATAGGAATTATAATTTTATTGGGGTTATTTTTTTCAACTACTCCTTTGCAACTGGGTCCATTCTCAGTGACTATAGTGAATATTTTCAAGTGATTGAATACAGCAATATTTTGTGACATTTAAGAAAATTATTCCAAAATAATTCACGTTTTTTTTCAGTTGGTGTAATCTTTGGTTTGGGTAGCTACAAAGTTGATTAGATGTAGGTACATTTGATTTTGTATACCTTCAAGTATATTCTTTGACTAGGTAGGTACCTTTGAAATAAATTATTTGTCAGTGTCAAGAAAAACCTTTCAGTATCTTCTAAAGATTTTATTACTTCAAAATGTTAACAAAAAAGCATAACTACTACTCTACATAAGTGAGGGAGCTACAAATAGCAATGATGCTCTCTAGATATCTCAGGGAGTTGTTATCAAGACCCATCCAGAACAGTGACCCTAGCTGTAAGTATATACTTTTGAGTAAAAATGAGCAAAAAATCACATGTTACATTTATGGATATTTTTCACAGGAATATGTTATTGAAAAGTTCCATGAATTAATCTGTAGCAACATGGTCAATAAGTTGAATAAGATTCTTAATAGCCTCAAATAAGTAAGAAAATCCTACATTGAACACTTTTACAGAAAATCACTTCAAATTATTTTGAAGCAAATAAGATAATTTCTGACAAACCATTTCATAACCACACTCTAGAAGTAGGAGATGGTAGCAAAAGATTGGATTTTTGTTTGGATAGAGAAATAGAGATAAGGCTTTATGAGGAAATTAAATACTTTTTTCTGATAATTTTTAACAACTGTACCATTACAGAAGTGACACATATTTCCAGCAAGAAGGATGCCAAGCCTAATTTGCAAGAAAAGTAAAGAAATAGTTTCAGTTTTATGGGCCCCAAAAAGTCCTGACCTTATGTTAGCAGACATGTATTTGTAAAGATGCCAAAATTGAAATAATCCACTGCTAAGTGCTAAATGATCAGGATATTTTGAAAAAAAGAATTATATAAACCATAAAAGAAATATCACTAGAAGTGCGAACTACTTATTGTTAACATTGTTAACCTGTGAAATCTTTAGAAGTTTCTGACATTGATTACCTAATCAGAGGTGATACTTGAAGGAGTACAGAATCATAGGTTTGAGTATGCCTTATGTAAAATGTAAGTGTAAAGCCAAAAAAAAATTAATATTTACCTAAACTGATTCAGTTCAATAATGAATGTTTGGAATACAATTTGAATAAGAAAAAGTGTATTTTGTTCAATGTTCACATAAAAGGAGTTGTTTCAAAAGTTGATTCATGTCACGCAATGCTGTGTTTATATGAAAGTAGTTGTTTGAGAGGGTTTTTTCTTCTAGTTCGTATCTGAAAGTAACTTCTATGCATAATCTACATATCTTTCTGAAGAGTTCATTTTGAAATTGATCGTGAAGATGAAGTAGAAAGCCAAAACTATTCTTTCCTAAAATATAATCCCTCCTAAAAATATATCCCTTTTAGTTTTTAAGTTCAAACTAAGCATACTTTACTTTTGTAAAAAAATTGTACTTTCAACTTTTTCATACACCATACCTATATACAATTTTATTTAATTTTTTTTTAAAAGAAAGGTTTTTGGCTTTCTACTTCTCCATCTTTATACAAAAAAATGTGGAAATTTTTCAAGGAAAAGAAGAAAAAAATTTCCCAAAAATAAATCTCTCCTAAAAATATACCCCTTTCAATTTATTTTTTTATCTCGCTAGTCGTATTTTTAGCAAGCAAAAAATTTTATAAAGAACGACTTTGGTTTGTTTCTTCTCTTCTATTATATCGCAGCAGTAGAATCATTATAAGTAAGGCAGATAGTTAAAACTTTAAAAATTATTCAAGATTCAGCCCTTCTGGTGGAATGAGTAGGGTTTCTATTTGGGTGCTGCACGACTGAAGGTTAAACAAACTGCCTGAAAAAAAAAACGAGCATTTGAAGTGAATCCAAAATTTTACTTTTCATATCATAATGAATATTTTAAAGATAATAACTTATTCAACTAACCGTAAAATGAAACCAAAACTAGTATTGAAAGAATGTTAATTAACGAAGCAATTCCTAGCAAATCAGCCTTAGTTGAAAAGGTGAACCTGAAATGAGATTGAATTATTATGGTCTAACCTATGTCTAGAAAATCCTTCATCAGATGGGTTCAAAGATTGAACTTGAATAAACAGTAAAAAATTTATGCGAAAAACACCACCATTATTAATGAAGAAAGTTAGCAACAGTTATGAACTAAATATAATTATTATCGACCTTCTAACATTGCTATGGATACAACAAACTTCTGGGGTCGTTGGTAGTTATCTATTTTTCATTTTGATACAATAAATACGGATTGATTTTACTGACAAGTATGAACGTATAGATATCAGCAAAATGTTTGAGTATTTACCATTCTTGATTTGAAGGAAAATACTACCTACAAAACTATCTCAATTCAATATTGCTACGAAGTTTTAGAATGGATGTATAATCACTTGCGTAATCAAAAATAAAGGATCTGTTTCAAACGCTACATCATCATGAAATGTTAGTATTGATTCAGGGGTTCGCAAGGGAGTGTCCTAGAACTTCTCTCCTATTTGTTTTATTCTTGAAAATAAAAAAAGACTGAAACTACAGTAGTTTTAGTCATCTCCTGATGATGCTAACTTGGTTAGCGAAATGCGCGTCGAGAGACACAATTTTTGTTCTGGTGGGGAAAAAACTACAGTAGTTTTAGTCATCTCCTGATGACGCTAACTTGGTTAGCGAAATGCGCGTCGAGAGACACAATTTTTGTTCTGGTGGGGAAAACTTTTCAATAGATTCATTTCACTTCAGAGGTTTCAAATTCTACTTATAAAACCAAATATATGATGATGCTGACCTATCAAATAAAGAAATGAAGACAAAAGTGGCCCTAATTTTTAAATCTTTGAAATAATTGTTTTATAATGAATGTTTAACTCTTTTCCATGTTTAATTGAATGTGACTGTTCTCATTGGCGAGGAAGCGAAAGGTAACGCCGTCATAGCACATGCAAGCAATTTAAGTTTATCTGTGTAGTGATAATTTTATCAGTAGTGTATGTCTGCCGTATAAAGACGTGCCACATTTACGAAAATTTATGAAGCATTAAAAAAAGGAGTGCAATATTGAGTACAGTAAGACTTCTGTACTCCCACGAGTAGACATGGGTTACTGCTTCTAAACGGAAGCAAAAGCCAAAATTAGTGAAAAAGAGAGAGAGAGAGAAAAGGAAAAATTGACTCTGAATTAATTCCGTCAATTTTCATATGTAAATTTTTTTTCATTTTGTTTATCAACCGTCATTGTAATCACATATAAGAATTGAAAGTGTATTTTTTAAAATACTACATTGGTGTTGTCAACTGACATCAGAAGTTACTCAGTTTTTATCATAATACTGTCAGAACTTTATTTCTTTTCAGCTATTATTAGCTCTATAAAGATTGGTAAACACCATTCATTTGCCATCATTCATATGTAATATTCAACCAAATATAAACATTTGATAAGTAAAACCATATTCGTAAACAGTTTTTCATTTACTTTAGAAACAACATGGAGGCTAGAGCAGAACATCAGAAAGTTCGACATTATCAAACATTTTACTCCTTCACTACTTCTATGGGAGTAGGTTTGCTGGCGTTGGTTCTTTTTTGGATTTTGTACTACAGAAGTGGCTTTGCATGGCAAAAGACACCTTCACAGGAGTTTTATTGGCATCCTTTCTTGATGGTATTGGGAATGGTATTTTTGTATTCTCAATGTAAGTTTCATCCAATATTTTTTGCTTTTTTATTTGTTTCCTAGACTAGTGAAGTAAGCATGTTTTATGTATTATAATGTGCTAATTGTAAATGTTTAATTATTACTGTATACCGTACATACTCAAAATAAGAGAGAATTCTCATCTCAAGTAGATATGTCCATGTTTTATGTATATTTTAAATGTTGACTTATTTTTTATTCATCCTATCTCCAAACAAGTTTTAACTGACTTACTGAGTATCATCATTTATAGTTCCGGAAATGTATATTATCAAACTTTTATTTTATTAAGTAACATATATTAGCCCAGGAAAAACTAAGTCAATTCATCAAAGTATCACAAAATGAATGATTATCATCAAAATTTATCAAAATGATATTTCTAGATAATTCTACAGATTCACGTCAGCTAAGCAGTGAGTTATTGACCTAAAATAAAAGAAGTTCTCAGACACTTCCTGAAATGGCAAAACTTTCTCCTTCATTTTGGTAAAAGCTGCTTTGTAGCGTGCTCATGTAGTATGTAATATGAAAGGAATACTTAGCTTTGGGACACCGCAACTACTGGTGGTATGAATCACCAAAGTGGAATATCCCAACGTCACGTTCCACTACAAAATAAATAGCTATTCTAATGTTACGGTTCAAACTATAGAGCAGAGAAAATGTCATACTTAACAGGAACCCATAAAATCACGTAGTAAATAAATTCATTTCGAAATTTCTGTGGCAAAATAAACTCCGGTTTGAATACCGGGGGGGTATAAAAAAACCCATAAAAAAATAAGGGAACGTAGTGACAGAATTACCGAAACTTGTGTCAGGAATACCTCAGAAACATTATAAAATGTTAGAAATGAGTTCAAAAATAGACTGTTTTACTGTTAGGAGATTCAAGAACATTCTGAACATTTGCTCAAATGTTTTTTTATTTATAAGATTCCTAGTCTAAAATTCATACAAAAGATGTTACTAATTTATTTTTGTTTCCAATGAACATTTATTTAAAAAAATCTGACTTAGGGTGGCGGAGTTACGAAATTCCTAGTCTAAAATTCATACACCAATAAATCTGCAACCGGTTATTCAAATTCAGAACAGAAAAAGTCATTGTATAGAGAATTGAAATACCTTCCTAGTGAAGGGTCACAAGGCCCCCCCTTTCTACTTAAAAAAAAGTTAATAGTACCCTCTCTGCGGCAAATGATGTCACACCATTGGCTTTTTTACAAAAATGGTGCGACTTTGATATGTTGACTCGTTCAGAAGAGGAGGCGGACTATTTACTTCAGCCCTGTATAAGTAACAGATAACTTTTCTTCAAATTTTCTTTAAAATAGGCTGAATATGTCTTCAATGCTTCATTAATCGCCAGACATATTTGACTGGTTTACAATTTTAAGTTGTTAAAGAATTTATAGTTACAGGTTTGTATTAATTTTATTTATTGATTGATATAGAATTTTGACTGCTATTATTTACATTTACTAATTCTTTTCAGCAATGCTTGTCTACAGAAGCTTAAGACATGTTCCAAAAATGAAACTTAAAATTATCCATGCCTCCCTTCACGGTCTTGCTTTCATCTTATCAGTTATTGGACTGAAAGCTGCTTTCGACTCTCACAACTTGGTCGATCCTCCGAAACCAAATTTATACAGTCTTCATTCCTGGATTGGTTTGGCCACTGTTATAATTTTTGCTCTACAAGTAAGTATCGCCAAAGTTCATATACATGTATATCTAAACAAGAAATTATTGGTAAAATTGAGAGTAGTGAAATGGTTTTTCTATAAAAATCATGTGAGCTCCAACAGAGTTTCCTTACAAATAATATATAGGTATGAGTGATATGAAAATTTTGAATTTTGACCACGTTGATTAGCTTTGGTACCAGTGAATATCTATTTCTGGTGATGCTTATAATTTGTAAATGAGCACTCATATATCACATACTTACTTGCTTGTTAACTACAGTTAGACAAAAAATCAGTGTTGTTTCAGCACTGAAACTGCGATCAGAAAGATTGGTATCAGTTACCTCAGACATCAAAGAATATACATACATATGCCGTGTAACTTGAACTAACAACAAATGTGAAATATAAAAATTAGATAGAACTGGCTGATACTTGATGAAAATCCATATTACCACTAACTGATACATTAACTATATGACTTTCACAAAAGGGTGAATACAAAATAGCTTCCACCCTTGAGGAAGCTTTTGTATAACGAAAGACGTGTCGCGGTTTTTGTAAAACTTTTATAGTGAAAATCTTACAGTAAATTGTATCAGTTAGTGATATAAAATATAAACGCCTGGTTCTTCTCATAACAAATTTTACACATATTTAGGTTTTACATTCATTATTATTTAATCGTTGAGGTGTTATTTGGTTTCTCATTATTACTTCATTCATTCCAAGCGTCAGCTATTTATTTCGTTTTTATACAATCTGTTTAACAATGAATAAAATGAGAATGTACCATCAAAATTATACAGGTTTGAGAATAAAATCACAACAATTCTATATGAATATATAACAAAAATTATGATATAGTTTCAACAAAGACTTGGCTGATAAAGCTATTGTATAGTGGAATCACAATGAATTTCTCATCAATTGCACCTACGTCATTGCAAACTTTCAACACACAATGTTTTGTAGAACTATTTGATATTATCAGTAATAATCTAAACAATGATACAAGTATTATAATATTTATTGGTTTTTGAATCCTTACCGTTAATTACTGGAACAAATTGTGATTTTTTTCAATCTTAATAGCCCAATCACCAATAGTTGATTTCTCTACTAGAAATAAAAAATCAGATATCAAAAGGTAGATAACATATCTCTCGATTTTATATCCAGACTATTGAAGTTTCAATTTTGAATGAAATATTTTTAGTTCCAATAAATGTCCTCCAGTATTGATCATCGAATTTAAAATAAAAATTACTAATTTTGAAAATAATTTTCATCTACGTGGGGAAACTTATAGTTTAAAAGAGGCAGATTTCTCCCTTATGGTTGAACTGTGGGCTTGTTTCGTGCTATGAAAAATGATACTGGTTTGCTTATAGACTGATTGTGTTAGGGGTATCTGTCTGTTTAAAATCTGTTTTTCCGTTAATCAGCTGCCGCCCCCATACGAACGACAACTCTCAGAAGTTGAGAAACTTGTGCGAGCTAAGGACTAACGAGGTCTTACCTTTTAACGTGTGATTCCTAACACG